TCGCCACTACTACTAGTTAGTAGAGGTTAGTCAAGGAAAATATAAATTTTAATTTTGCCGCGTTGCGACGCGCGGTCAAATTATGAGTCATAAAAAATTATCATTAAGTAATAAAACCTATGAATCACTAAATCTTGAAAAACCTCAAATAAAGTAAAAGAATTTAATAGGTGAAATCAAGAACCCTAAAATTCAGGATATTTTCTTTTTGGTGATGTAAAAAACAATTTAGTTTTTTAAAAATTACTAGTGTGAACCTCGTGTGATGCACAGGAATAATATTATAAATAGACCTCGAGTTTGAGTCACTCAATGGCGGAAGTGGAAACTACTATTGATCCTATTTAAAAAGAGAAAGAAAAAAAAATAATTATAAATTAAAGAGGAGGATAAACAATACTTAATAATTATAGATTGAAGATTCGGGGTCAAACAATGTAAAACTATTTTTTATAAGAGAATATGAAATTTACATTATTTTGTACAAGAGAATTTAAAATTTGTATGTTTAATATTAAAAACACCTAAAATATTATATTAGTATATGTAAAAGTATTCAAAATTTTCTATATTATTTTTGAAAGATGTGAAGTCACCAACAATTTTGCTAAACAATTTTAGAAGGAAAACATATCTAAAAATATTTGAATTTAACATTGTCTAAAAAAGATTTTTCTAGAATATTTTGTAAAGAAAACATGTCTACAAATATTTAAATTTAACATCAATTATGTATATGTGTAAATGAATATATAGACGAATATGTAAAAAAATGTCTAAATAATTTGTTTAAAATATCTAAACTATTATAAGCATAATTTAAAATAGACATTATGTCAGATGATACGTTACTTCCATCTAAAAAATTTGATCACACACCATTATTATTATACTTTTTACGTTGTTATCGAGGATGTATTGTTAGCTTATAATATTTGTAAAAATATTAGTAATTAAACTGATGAAAATTAGCTTTTTAAAGTAGATAATGGATTTCTAGTAGTAATAAGAGATGCAATTTTTTAAACTCGTGAGACGTATGCAATGGGATTTTATAACAGATAAGAGATAAACTCTAGATTTATGCTATGAGATTTTATAACGCGATCTTCAATACCAAAAATCAGGAAAAAGGAAAACAAATTCTAACACAATTAGATTCTAACACAATTAATCAGCCAATTTTGTTGTCTTATCAATATTGTCCAACAATTACTATATATAGGATACATTTAATGTATTTAGTGGGAAAACATTTCTAAAATTGTAAAAAAGTTATTCTTTTTATATAATGATAGATTTTGAAAAGTTGCGTGTATAATTCAACATTTTTGGATATCCACGTAATGGATTGAAAATAACAATATGCCTTTGTGGTCCTTTCTTGTTTGGTTATAACGGACATATTGAGCTAAAACTGATCATTTTATTTGAACTCACTTATCTTTTGGGTGGTACTATTTACCGCCCTCCTTTACCAGTCACCGCCCCCTTTGGACGATTTTGCCCTTTTCATTTTTTCTAAACATCTCAGAGGAAAGTGTACGGTGAAATGTCGTCAAATTCCGAGGTACGAAAATTTTTGTGTCCGGCCAGCGAAACCGGATGGCTTTTACCCCGTCCGACCGCTTGAACCGGACGGCTTTTAAGCCGTCCGGCCGGCCGGTTCGGACGGGCTAAAAACCGTCCCAAAAGTTCGGCCGGTCGGACGGGCTCTGTTCGAACCGGCAGACCGGACGCTTTAAAAGTTGTCCAGCGGCGACGGCCGGTCGGAACTGGTCCGTCTGGTTCGGTCGGCGCACAATTTTTTTTTTTTTTTGTTTTTTGAATTATTATGTTATATATTCGAAATAATTATGTTATAAATTGGACTTGATTATTATGTTACATTTTAGACTTGATTATGCTACAAATTGGACGTTAGATATTATCGTGTTAGGAGTTACAAATTATTATGTTACATCTTAGAGTTAATTATGCTATAAATTGGATGTTAGATATTATCGTGTTACGAGTTAAAAATTATTATATTATATGTTAGTCTTGGTTATGTTAAATTGACGTTAGATAGTATCGTGTTAGGAGTTACAAATTATTATGTAACATTACTACTAATTGATTATAACAATAATAAAAATAATTATAATAACTTCTAACTAATTAACTGTATGGTTCCTCTAAATTACAAAATAATTATACCGTAGTTGAGGAGCAGACCGATAATACTTTTCTAACAGTACCTATAATTTGTAATGATTAATTGAAAATTATTTATGTTAAACAACAATAATAACGTAAATTAATTACCTGATGAGGATGCAGAGGGGCCAAAACGCCCCCAGCCTATCGTTGAGGAGCAGGCTTTGTAGGACGAACCGGCTGTACCGGATAAACATGCTGTAGAACCGGCTGTACTGGACGAACAGGTTGTACAGGAGGACGAGGGTGGCTAGGACCCGTGGGCTGTGCGTGGTCCTGATCATCTGAGGAGTCGTCCGAGTCACACTCCTCTGGACCATGCTCCCTCTCGCCGTACGACTCATCAGCATACCCCTGCTGACCATAAGGTAATGGTACGCATGCGCGAGGGGTATCAACTTCTCTGCGTAGCGGGAAAAAGCATATCCCGACTGATCGTACGGTCCTGGTGCCGGGGGCATCGAACTGCCTGCCAGGCCAGGATAATAAAATCCATGCTCACCGTACGGGAGGACTCCGCGGAGTCGCGAACTATTTGGCTGGCCCTCAAAATGATATCCCTGCGGACCATCTCGCATTGGTGTGGGGGGTCTCGAACTATGGCTAGCCTGACGAATCTGTACCCTCCGAGCCTAATCGATCATTGTCTGCCTCTCCCTCTCCCGACGAACAGACGCATTGACACCCTGACTTCTAGTGTATCGGGTGCCAGAACCATCATAATAGTCATCGAACGCCTCGTCGTCGTCCCTGGCATTAGATTGTCCAGCTCTGCTAACACCCTGAATTAGAAATATAATTATTAAATTTTTCCATATGTAATAACTATTGTGATAACTATTAAAATAGATTACAATTGATTTTTATTTTAATTTATAAATTTTATCATTATAATTTTTAATTATTATTATAATTATTATTGTTGAGATTTATAATAATTATTACTATTAATTATAATTATTATTACCAATTATTACTATTAATTATAATTACTATTATAATTAATTATTATATTATTACAAATTATTATTATTAATTATAATAATTATTAGAATTTTTTTATTAAAATTATTATAATTAATTCTAATTTATAATTATTATTTCTTATAATTATTATTATTATTTCTTATAATTATTATTATTATAAGCATTAATAATTTATAATTATTAATATTATTCAACTTATTATTATACTAATCTAATTACCTAATTCAGTTAACACAAAAAAATCACAACTCAATTGCACCACTCCCCGGCAACGGCGCCGACCGTGCGTCGCAACGCGGTAAATTTAAATTTATAAATGTTTTCCTTAACTAACTTCTACTAACTAGTAGTAGCGGCGAGTAAGGGTCGATCCCACGAGGAGTAGGAACTAAATTGTGACAATTTCGTATTAAATGAATTTAAACTAAGAAAGCAAAAAATACCTGGATAGAGAAGAATGCTTTGCCCATGTCATAGGATTTTTTTGACATTTTTTCGGATTTTTTCGGTGTTCGAATCGCTCGTTGAATGTTCGGGAATTTAGAGAGATAGAAAGTTTAGAGAAATAGAGTCTGAAAAAAGGTTAAAGACAAAAAAGTAAATGGGGGAACGGTGACTAGTAAAGGGGCAGTGAATAGTAAATGATAAATGAGTATCTTTTCCTATTATGGAGATGCTCGCATACTTGTTGGAGGTTGGACCATTAATTTATAAATTGATTTTAATTCATCCAAATGATGATTGAATTTTATTTTGTCTATTTTATTTTTTACTTTTTCTAACTGTATATGATTTGCAGGATATATATGATTACACTCATAATGAATTAATAAGTAAAAACATTGAAATATATGTATCTTGCAATTATAATTCAAGCATTTTAGCACATTTGATTGTTCTAATTAATAGAAGGAAATGTGCATTTTTCCTTAAAAGATGGAGTTGCCTAGGTGAAGTTGTATGTATCCTCACAAAGGAGAAGGCCTGTATACGTTTATTTTTCTATTTTTTTATTTATTTATTTATTTTAGGATAAAGAACTAAATTAGGTACGAAATTTATTTTGGGGTCAAACGGGAAAGTAAAACCTAACCAGAGGTCGTGTACACGTGTTTGTTTGGGGTTTCGGGTTTTCAAATAAAATGTGATGTGATGATGAAAGGTGTGTTTTATGGTAGACCATAAATTGATTATATTCAAGAGAGTAACTTTCAGCTATAATAATCCAGAAGTAAGACGAAGGAAAGATATAACTCTGATAATGTTTAGTTTATTCACAAAAATATCTTCTTTTTAGTACAATTTGTAAACACCTCCTCCTTCCCAATGCTAAATATTATAGAGCTCAGCTCGAGAAGTTTCTAAAAAGCATAATAATATCAAGAATATGTTTATTTGGACTACTACACCAAGACCACTATATATATATGCCTCAAGAAAACACTCAATTCATAACAAAAAGACAATCATTTTAATTTGCCAAACAATTCTAAGCAATCTATCTTGAAATAACATAAGGCTGGTGTTAGACACCAGCATTAGTTTTCTAAATGATATACATTCTGTTTACTTTAAATGTTATGATTCAAAACACAAACATAAATAAAAATATAAAATTCCATAGCATAAGTATGTATTTTTGTTCTGATCAATTCGCCTAATTAAAAAAAAAAAAATGTGTAGGAACAAACTATAGATCACTCGTGCAAATTCAATTTGTGCATTAATTCCCCATTTTCATTCATGACAAATGATCAGAATAAAAAAAAAAATATTAAAAAGTTAATCAAATTAAGGTTCTCTTTTCTATAGTCCTATTGCAGTGAGATGTGGTTAAGTTGAATGGAAGAAGCGGATTGGCACGACCAGCCTTGAAGTCGTAAAACACGATACACAAACACACCTAAAATAGCTCCGATTGTTGGGGCCGCCATATATATCCACAAATGGTCAAATCTCCACGAAACTAGCGCGGGTCCTAGCGACCTAGCTGGGTTCATCGACCCTCCCGAAACTGGCCTGCAATTTCCAAAGCCAAAAAAATTAATACTATCACCTAATTATATTTTTTTATATATNTATATGTGATTTTGCAACTTACTGCAATTTGGAAAGGAAAAATTATTCCACATTGGATTGATTTAATTGGATGGACCTACTTGATCATTTTTTTATCTATTTTTTCAAATAAAAGTATCTCTGATACACACAAGTGATTATTAAAATTTCAATACGATATAAATAATTGGAATTTGTTAAGAATTCTATATGGTGTTACACGATTGTCATATGTGAGGACAAAAATGTCAAATACATTTTTACCAATGATTCATACTTTTTGGGCCTGGAGATAAAACATAGTTCATAAATTGGGCTCAATGTTGTTATAATGGATTTGGAGTGGTGAATCCAAACATGGGCTACATTTAAAGAATCATTACATTACATTAATATAAACACAAAAATACTTCATTGGAAAATATAATTAATATATTTGATATCAAATTACCTCATTACATGCTGAATTAATAATGTCCTTATATTTTTTAGTAAAGTAAATCCTTAGAATGAAAGCCATTTATTATCAAAAATTGGGAAAAACAATTTCTTACATGTTGTTTTTGGGTGAATAAGGATGTGGTAAGGAAGAGAATGATAAAAGTTGCAATAAGCTCAACCCAAAAGGCTGAAGTGCTCCCTTGTATTGGCCTTGTCATCATAACCTCTGCCTTAATACCATACACAAACTTTCCTGCATATGTTGCCAATACAGAACCCCCAACTTGTGCTGCCACATACAATGGAACCTTCACAACAAAATAAATACATAAATGCTTCCATTCAAAACTCATTTGTACTAAAATAAGCCTAAAGTAAGTGAAGAATGAGCTATAAAAAAGAAACTATCAAATTATGTCTAAGGCAGCCTAATTGTTAGACATATCGACCTGTCATACTTTTTTAACAAAAAATGCTTACTTATGGAATAAAATTTTGTACTTTGCTTTACATTTTTTTATTTTAAATCTATCATATAAAAGTCCAAATAAGAATCTATTAAGAGTGTACCTTTGACCATGGAAAAGGGCCGAGGGTGGCAAAAGCAATGGTGACAGAAGGATTAATATGAGCACCAGAAATGGAGCCCATTGAGAAAACAATGACTATCACAGTTAAACCAGCTGTGGCTGCATATTCCATTAGCCCTCTTTCAATTTTCATAAATTGCATGTTCCCAATAATCCCACCAATGCAGAACACTAACATGAATGTCCCTAATGCCTCTGCCATCACCTGTTTCAATGCGTACAAAATCGTTCGTTCGTTTGAACAAAGTAAAAACGAGTGAAACGCAACGTGTAGTCGAATTCTCGCATTTTCGATTGAATTATGAAAATACGGGTTCTTTCTTTTTTGTTTTTCTCTTTCTAGAAGAAAAAAAGGGAAAATGTTTTGCATTTACCATTCGGACAAGAATCCAATCGACCGTTTTCCTTGGAGCATTTTCGGCATTAGATGCAACAATGTATCCCGATTCTTGATCACTAATAGGCTGGCTGCTTGTAGATGTTATTGCCAAAACATCAGACGATGACGAATCTCGAAATCGAGATTCCATGCTTTGCCTTGCCAAATATTCTAGAAATCAGATTGGCTATTAAAATGAGGTAAAGTTAGTGTACAATGGATTATAGATAACCGATATTTTGAGAATATTGTACAACACTTACGAGATTTTCTGAGCGCGGATTTTGTTAGTGCTATTAAGACAGCCTTGAAGTAGTAAATTGGAGGGCACAAACTGTTAGAAGCTGGAAATGTGGCAGTTTAGTTTGAACACACAATACTTGTTGTGTGTTTGCTGTTGTACAATTCGTGCAAATAAAGTTAGTTCATGCTTTTATGGTGTGTTGGTACTCAGTTGATCTCTAATTCTTCAGGTATTGATGATATTTAAGCGTGACTTAAAGACGTCATTCTCAAACACGTGGCATTCTTACGGTTCATCGAAATATAAGATGATATAATAATTGAAACAGAGAATCTCTTGGTTGATGAAGGCTGACAATTTCTATCTAACTGCTGCTTAATTTTATACAACACAAAAGTAGTAGGTTTGGATAAGGTGATATCATGAAATCTGATCCTCATGTGATGTGCCATCAACAAGCATGAATTCATGATTTTGCATGTAAGTGGTGATTATCATAAAAAAAATAGATTAGATGCCAAATATTAATAATATTAAAAATAATTTTGCCTTTTTCCTTAATCAACAAATAACCAAAATTCCAGAGGAGCATTACTAAATTAAAGTAGGAAATAATATCAGTGGTAGTTGCAGTTGTAGTTTTGGAATGTAACTTTTATAGTTATGCAGCTCTGCTTTCATATCTGCATGTTTTGTGTTGCAGAGGAAGTTGTTCATCAAACACTCATTAATTTACTGAAAATCTGACTTGACCAAAATTCAACAAGCAAAAATCTCTTTTACAAAAAATCTTTAGAAATCAAATGCTCAATCTTAATATAGTACAATTGATAACACTGCAATTGATCAATAGCACCTTTATTTTCATTTACACAAAAGAACTAAAGTCACCACATGTCATCCTCTCAAAATACAATGAAGAACTAAAACCAAAATTCATTTGTTCGAGATCGAACAACAACAAATTATCCTCCATCTGAAATGACCCTATCACGATAGAATGTTCCGGATTTTCCCCACCATCCAAGAACGCAAAACACGCTAAATCTCCTCTAACTCTCCTCATTGAGTTCGCCCCATATACCGTCCAATTCTTTCCATTTTCAAATTCCAAGTCAATTTTCGGCACGTTCAATCCCAATCGTCCATAGCCAATCTCACTAGCATTATAGCATGCACTAAATGGCTTCACTTTTTTCGATAAACGAGCCCCATTTATCGACCTAGTGAAAAAATTCAAAACCTTTTCAAAGATATCGGTCCTCAACGTTGTGTAAGGTACAACCGTGCTAAGCTTGATTCCTTCATTAGGATTCATTGGAATCGAATAGTTTCCATTTACCGATAACCCCTTGATGCCAATGAAATAATCTGCAGTCTTGGGATTTCTAAGTAATGGAGTGTGAGATAAATTTCTTGTATTATACGGCTCGTCTCCAAAGAAAATCACCCCACTTGACGAACTTCCGCTCGGCAAACAAATAGCGAACTTTTGGCTAACTTTGAAATTATTCGAAGAAGAGAATTGAGATGGGAAGGATAATGGTGCTAATGAAAGGCTTGCTAGACCTAAAACTCCTCTTGGAAAAGACCGAAAAACGGACGGCCGAGCACATGATAAATATATATTTTTGAATTCAATCTCGGTTTTCGCTTTCTCACGGTTGACGACGAAAGATATAGAAAAATTTTCCGAGGTTAATCGATCTAGAGCGCACGATTTTGTCTTTGGGTTTATAGGAGTCACCATGCAAGTGCATGGGTTTGGTAATGGTGATGGGTTGGTGAATGATATGGGGCAAGAGGGTGATAGAAGATATTGGGCTTGAATGCATTGAGCCGACACGCAGTCCACCGTGGGCTGGTGGGCCGAAGAACAATGGCGCCATGAAAATGGAGCGCTTAGGTCGATGACGTGGCGCTCGTTGGAGTTGAGGGTTATGGTGTAGAGGGAAGTTTGGGGGTCTTTGTTGAGTGGTGCTAATAGTGTTTGTTGGGATGAGGCTGCATGGAAGATTAATGATAAAATGAGGGAAATGAGTGTTAAGAGGTATATTGCATTTGTATTGTTGATGAAAATCATGGGGGTTTTCATGATGGTTGGTGTTTTGAGTTGTTTTGGAATGTGGAGTGGAAGGTTTTAGGAGCTGAAATTGATGTATATGTGGAGGAAGAAGTGATTTGTTTTATTTGAGCACAGTTGAAAAAACTAACAAAGGTTTTTGTGGGGCTATTTGTAATACAGTTTTTTGTTTTTCTATTTTGTGGTGGAGGAGAAAGATTCAAAAATAAATAAACCATGTTTTAACTTATCATATCTTCATTGTTCTTCCACTAACTTTTTTTTTCCAGACTGGATGGGTTTGTGGAGAGAGAACTGGTTAGACTTAAATTAGAATTTNNATTAATCTTGCTAAGTAACATCTTCTTCATGAAGTTTTGGCTCTGTAGGAACAAAATTACAGAAACTTTCGAATTCTTCTTTTTTTTTTTCTTTCTTGTGTTTTGTTATATATTGATATATTTTTATAATTATTTTACATCTTGGTTTCTGCTGCCGACATTAATGTTTGAACTTTCGTCCAACTGTATCTCATTTCATATCTGTGTGCGTGGGTCTTCCATTTGTTCAATATTCTTTTGGCAATGGATAACATAAATAAATATATAAAATGGTAGTAAGTTATATGGAGGTATTCGTTGTCCGGTTGACTTTTGAAGATGGAATTTGAGTGCTTATTGGGCGACAACTGTCAATGTTGACTAAATTATTTATTCTCAGCTGAAATTGTTGAAATTCACTTGCATATAATAGTTTAGTTTAAGCTATCACTCAAGTCATATACGTAAAAATATTTAAAAATTTAAAACTCGTGCACTTCGCAATTGGGCTACAATAATATCAACTTCGAAAATCCAATTCAAAATTCCTACAAATATTTTAATATTATAGTTTTTATTGAAAAACTTTCAATTGTTGGAATTATTCTTAGAATTTGATGATTTCACAACACTTCTCATTGGAATACTGAAAATTCACAAAAGTTCTCACATATAATTTTTATTTGGAATATCAGTTAAAATATGTATTTTCGTTTGAATTTATTATCGGAATTCCTTTGATAATCTTTTTATTTTCTTTTTTAGATTTATTTCTAACTGTATCAATTGATTTTTTTTTTTTCCTTTTTAAAGGAGCATTGCTAATGCATCCCTGTTTTTGCGTTAGGCTTTGAATGTTTTCGAAAAACTTGGTGCGTACAGTACATAAACATTTTTTATTGATGCCAAAAAGAGTACAACTGTACAAGTGTAGCGAGAGAAAGTCAATCAGAATTGCCTCCATGTCCTTAAATTTTTCTTATGGCGCTTACAGGGGCGGATCTAACAAATATAATGAGGGGGTCTAATTATTTAATGAAAAATATAAATATCATAACGAAAAGTGCAAATACAAAGACATACCTTCATAGTTGTTCTTTACGAGTTTTCATGGCATGATATCGCTCAATAATAACATCATTATCAGTTTTTAAGAAGGTTTCCTTTTCTACATAAACTAGTAGTCTATCATTTAACCAATCATCACACATTCGATTGCTCAAACTATCCTTAATAATATTCATTGCGGAAAATATTCGCTCCACGCTAGCTATTGCAACCGGTAAAACCAACGCCAAAGTTAAAAGCTTGTAAACCAAAGGAAACACTTTGTGCTTCTTTGTCTGCACCAACTTCTCTGAAAGTTCACCGAGTCCTTTCAATTCTTTAAACAAATTGTTGAAGTGCATATCAACAATATAGTTCTGCAACTTATCCTCAAGAATGAGAACATCGGATATAGAAAAGTCTTGGGGATAAAACTCGGCCATCTTGACTAATTTGCCCTTGTCGAAAGCAGAAAAAGAATCTCGTGGAGATAAACAAGCTATACAAAGTAGCAACTCCGTACTAGCCTCCCAAAAACGATCATGTAACTCTTGTAGTTGCAAATCAATCACTGCACAGAATAAATCAACTCGATAATGATGCAAATTCGTTATTTTGGGTGCCTTACGAAGTGGACGACCGCGAGGATCAAAGCGAATAAACATGCTAGTCATATCGGGGACATCAATAGAATGTTTTTTACAAAATCGACAAACCTCGTCAAATAATAAATCCCATCCACTATCTCTCAATTCTTGAAGTCGATATCTACAAATTTTAACCAAATCCATTGCATTCACAATATCTTGGTCTCTCATTTGTAGTGCTTGGGACAACTCATTCGATATTCCCAAGATGATTTTCATCATATGCAAATTTAGCACAAATTCAAAGCAATGAATCGACTTCAATAATATCTCCACCTCCGCCTTTGGATAGAAATAGAATATTCATGCGCATAGATCACATCAAGCACATCACCCACGGGTGAAAACAATGTAATCAATCTAATAAAAAATCTATAATGCGAGCCCCAACGTGTATCACCAGGCCATTGAAGACTAGTTTCTTGGTTTAGACCCCGTCCACTTGAAATCTCACCCTTTTCTAGTGCCCCATCAATATAGCTCATTTGTTTTTCACGTAAAAGATCACAACGTCTAGAAGAACCCCCAACAACATTTATCAATTGAGAAACCACCCGAAAAAAATCAGCAATTAGAAGATTCTTTATAGCCACAGCTACAATGGCTAATTGGAGCTGATGAGCAAAACAATGCACATAATGTGCACTTGGATTCTCATTTAAAATAAGTGTTTTTAAGCCATTAATCCTCCCTTGCATATTACTAGCCTCATCGTAACCTTGCCCTCGCAATCTAGATATGCTCAAATTATGTCTCGACAACATCTTGTCAATGGCATCTTTAAGAGAAATTGCCGTAGTACTTGTGACATGTTCAACTCCAATGAAATGT